CTCCTCTAGAGTTCAGAGTCTGTTTCTTGGTCTGCATCACTCTCTTTTATCCCCTTTGTTCATTTGTTTTGTTTCTTAAATTCCACATATGAGTGAGATCATGTGGTCTTTGTCTTTCTCTGACTGCTTTTCACTTAGCATAATACCCTCTAGCTCCAGCCGTGTTATTGCAAATGGCAAGACGTCCTTCTTTTTGATGGCTGCGTAATATCTCACTGTATGTACACACCACAGCTTCTTTCGACATTCATCAGCCGATGACACTTGGGCTGCTTCCAAATCTTGGCTATTGTAAATAATGCTGCAATAAACACACGGGTGCATGTATCCCTTTGAATTAGTGTTTTTGTATTTGGAGGGTAAATACCCAGTAGTGCAATGACTAGCTCACAGGGTCACTGTAGTGCTGATAGTTTCCTTCACTGTGCAGAAGCTTTTTATTTTGATGTAGTCCCAGTAGTTTATCTTTGCTTTTGTTTCTTCAGGAAACACATCTAGAAAAAGTTGCTATGGCCAACATCAGAAAATTACTGCTTGTGTTCTCTTCAAGGATTTTTACGGTTCCAGGTCTCACATTTAGGTCCTTAATCCATTTTTATTTTATTTTTATGTGTGGTGTAAGAAAGTGGACCCGTTTCATACTTCTGCATGTTGCTCTCCAGTTTTCCCAACACCATTTGTTGAAGAGACTGTCTTTTTCCCATTGGATATTCTTTCCTTCTTCATTGAAGATTAATTGACCATATAATTGTAGGTTTATTTCTGGGTTTTCTGTTCTGTTCTGTTGATCTATGTGTCTGTTTCTGTGCCAGTACCATACTGGTTTGATCACTACAGCTCTGTAATAGAGCTGGAAGTCCGGAATTGTGATGCCTCCAGCTTTGCTCTTCTTTTTCAAAACTGCTTTGGCTATTCAGGGTCTTTTGTGGTTCCATACAAATTTTAGGATTGCCAAACCTAATTTTATTTTTTAATTTTTTTTAAAGATTTTATTTATTTATTCGTGAGAGAGAGAGAGAGAGAGAGAGAGAGAGGCAGAGGGAGAAGCAGGCTTCCTGCTAAGCAGGGAGCCTAATGTGGGACTCCATCCCAGGACCCTGGGACCACGACCTGAGCTGAAGGCAGAAGCTTAACCATCTGAGCCACCCAGGTGCCCACCAAACCTCATTTTAAATAAATGAAGACAGGGGCACCTGGATGGCTCAGTTGGTTAAGCATCTGACTCTTGACTTCAGCTCAGGTCATGATCTCAGGGTTATACGATCAAACCCCATGTTGGGCTCCACACTGAGTGTGGAGCCTGCTTAAGATTCTCCTCTCCCTCTGCCCCTCCGCCCCCACTGGGGCTCTTGCCCTAAATAAATAAATAAATAATGACATCATTTACTGTCAGATAGTGTATTAGTAGTAGGTACATACTCTTGTCATTGTTCCTGATTGCCTATACGGGTACATGCCTTACACAGCTGTCTTCCCTTTGCCCTGGGGGATGTGTTCCAACACCCCCAGTTGATGCCTGAAACCGCAGATGGTACCAAACCCTGTACAGACTATGTTTTTTCCTATACATACATACCTATGATAAAATTCAATTTATAAATTAGGCACAGTAAGAAATGAACAACAAATAATAAAATAGAACAATTATAACAATATACTATTAAAAAAGTTATGTGACTCTGGACTCTCTCTCTCAATATATCTTACTGTCCTGCACTCACTCTTCTTGTAATGACCTGAGATGACGAAATGCCCCCAGGACGAGATGAAGGGAGGTGAGTGACACAGGCGTGTGACACAGCGTCAGTGTAGCCTGACCTTCTGACGATGTGTCAGGGGAGGGTCTTCTGCTCCAGGACCATGGTTGGCAACGGGTAACCAAAACTGTGAAAGGCGGGACTGTAAAGAAGGGGACAGCTGTGTGTCTGAATGTCTATGTGGTCAGAGCCCAGAGGCTGTCCTTTCTTAGAGAGACCACTTCTTAGTCATTTA